CTTTCTTTATTGTCTTCCATAGTTTTTGTTCAACTAAGAAAAAATAAAAAGCAGAACTTGTTCTTAGCTTTTGATCTATCAACCTTGAGCTTTAACGCCCTGTCAACAACGAATTTACATTTGTAAAATTGCAACAATAGGCTGTGTTCATTCCGAAAACAACTTCATCAGCCCTAAAAGTAGTTCAATAAAAACAAATTGCTGAACAGAAAGGGCATAAAAGGATCATAACCTTGGTAATTCATGAAACACATCTGAGGCTTAAGACGTCATAACTCAGGTTAGATTTTTTCCAATAAAAAGCTTTCACTGTTCATTAACATTTTGTCAAAGGACGCGTCTCACATAGTACGTGTGCATGTTCTGATCAAAAGGATAAATCTTCAACGTTACACATTATGACTTCAAAGTGTACATAGAAGAAGTAAAAGTAAGTCTTTTTTATAAATACTCTTTCTCTTTCTCTATGTCTCTCTCTCTCTCTCTCTCTCTCTCTCTCTCTCTCTCTCTCTCTTTAGAGTGATAAATTTTTAAAACTTTACATTATGTAATGTTATGTGTTACTTGTTGAGTCTTTGGTTAAAGCTAGCAATGGCTCTTAAAAAAGTTTTAAATTAAAAAAGCAGAACTGTTTTTCGTCTAAAAATTTAAAGACTAAAGTCTTGTAAGTCAGAAATTCTAGATATAAAAACAATTATAAACATTCCATAAGAATATGGCAGAATCGATTGACATAAAAACAATAATGAACATTAAATAAATAATATATTTGAAACATTGTTATAAAAACAATAATGAACATTAAATAAATAATATATTAGAAACATTGATATAAAAACAATAATGAACATTAAGTAAGTAATATATTATAAACATTGATATAAAAACAATAATGAACATTAAATAAATAATATATTTTAAACATTGATAAAAAACAATAATGGGCATTTAGTAAATAATATATTAGAAACATTGATATAAAAACAATAATGAACATTTAGTAAATAATATATTATAAACATTGATATAAAAACAACAATGAACATTAAATAAATAATTTATTATAAACATTGATATAAAAACAATAATGAACATTAAATAAATAATACATTAGAAACATTGATATAAAAACAATAATGAACATTTAATAAATAATATATTAGAAACACTGATATAAAAACAATATTGAAAGTTCCATAAATAATGTAACACACGATGGATATATGATCAGTAATAGGAAATTAAATAAATAATATACCACAGAAACAATTAATATAAAAAACTAGTGAAGATTCAATAATAAGTATATCAGAAACAATGCGTATGAAATCAATTAATTAATTATTTTATTTTAAAAATCTCGATTCAACCGAGCATCATTTGTCTTTATCATGATTGATTCACCTACCACCCAGTGGTAAACACGTTCCACTCCAGTGAGCATTCAGAACACAACACGAGATAAGAGACATTTTGAGAAAATTTTACGGTGTTTCACTACAGGAACATATGGTTAGGATTAAAAGAAAAACAATCAATATTTGTAGCCTATATTTATAAATATTGAGAACAATTTGATATTTTCCTGTTCTTTTATTTTAAGTATTTTTTTTCTTCTTCTTCTTCTTCCTTTTCTCTTTCTTCCCTTTCCGCTTTTTCTTTTTCTCTTTGCACTTCTCTTATTCTTCTTCTTTTTCGTACAAATTTTAAAGGGGATATTTTCCAACATACAGCGTGTTTTCTTGTTATACAACTTTTGAATCGTTTACTCCCATTTATACCTGTTTTTCTTTCTTTATTTGCTTCCATAATTTTTGTTCAGCTAAGATCAAATAAAATGCAGAACTTGCTCGGAGCTTTCGATCTAACAACCTTGAGCTTTAACGCCCTGTCAACAACGAATTAACATTTGTAAAATTGCAACAATAGGCTGTGTTCATTCCGAAAACAACTTCATCAGCCCTAAAAGTAGTTCAATAAAAACAAATTGCTGAACAGAAAGGGCATAAAAGGATCATAACCTTGGTAATTCATGAAACACATCTGAGGCTTAAGACGTCATAACTCAGGTTAGATTTTTTTTCCAATAAAAAGCTTTCACTGTTCATTAACATTTTGTCAAAGGACGCGTGTCACATAGTACGTGTGCATGTTCTGATTAAAAGGATAAATCTTCAACGTTACACATTATGACTTCAAAGTGTACTTTGAAGAAGAAGTAAAAGTAAGTCTTTTTTATAAATAAATCTCTTTCTCTATGTGTGTGTCTCTCTCTCTTTAGAGTGATAAATTTTTAAAACATTACATTATGTAATGTTATGTGTTACTTATTGAGTCTTTGGTTAAAGCTAGCAATGGCTCTTAAATAAGTTTTAAATTTTAAAAAAAGCAGAACTGTTTTTCGCCTAAAAATTTAAAGACTAAAGTTTTGTAAGTCAGAAATTCTAGATATAAAAACAATTATAAACATTCCATAAGAATATGGCAGAATCGATTGACAAAAACAATAAGAATGAACATTAAATAAATAATATATTAGAAACATTGATATAAAAACAATAATGAACATTTAGTAAATAATATATTATAAAAATTGATATAAAAACAATAATGAACATTAAATAAATAATATATTTTAAACATTGATATGAAAAAAATATAATGTAACACACGATGGATATATAATCAGTAATTGGAAATTAAATAAATAATATAACACAGAAACAATGAATATAAAAAACTAGTGAAGATTAAATAAATAGTATATCAGAAACAATGCGTATGAAATCAATACTTATTATTGATTTAATTATATAATTTTAAAAAACTTCGGATATATAGACAAGAGTGAACATTTAATGAATTAGTCAGAAACATTGGATATAAAAAGAATAGTGAACAGTAAATAAATAGTATAACTCAGAAATATTATACATAAAATCAATGATAAACCTTCAATGTAACTCAGAAACACTGGATATAAAACCAAATGATAACAATAATTAAATAATATAAGTTAAAAACAATGGATATAAAACAATAATGAACATTTTATAAATAATATAACTCGGAAACTTTGGATTTAAAAACAGTATTAAACATTCAATTAAAACATATCAGAAAAGTTGGATATGAAAACAATGATGAACAAGCAATAAATTATATGCCAGAAGCTTTGGACATTAAAATAATAGTGAACACGCAATAAATACTATGATTTGAGAAATGTGGATACAAAAACAATAGTGAATATTCAACAAATAATCCAATTGTGTTGCAGTTAATTGTCATAAAACGAAATTAAAGTACAATATTGTATGGTCCAGTTTTCGGCCATTTAATGAATCGCCGCTACCTTTTTGGTCAGCATTTCGGAGTTTGCGGGACACTGAAAAGCTAGAAAAAAATTTGCCATTGTAGTCATGTAACGCTTGCTATCGTATGTCATGAATGTTTGCAATAATGTGGAAAAAAATTCTTCTCCATAATGGAACGTAATTTGCAGTCACATGCAAGAAACAAGAAAAGATTGTTATCAAATGCAAAAAAAGCTTACTTTATTAACATCCAAAAAAAGCTTGCCATAACATTTTAAAAAATCCTTGCAATTACATCTAAAAAACTTGCTAATGCATCCAAAAAGCTTGATATAACATCAAAAAATGCTTTTTATTTATATATCAATAAACATAGAATACTTTTACCTAATCTAATCAGTATTATTATCTATTGGTTAGTTTCAATGCAAAAAACCTATAGGCGTACAATCTACTACCTCATTTATAAAAACAGTATACATGAAATTTAAAACTTTAATTTTGCAAATTATAAGGCAGAATAGAATAACATTAATGTATTCATAGATTTTACTGAAACTATTCACACTGTTTTGTATTTAAGGAACCGAAGAGTGAGCTGTAGAAGAGATGAGTACCCTCTTGTTTTACGCATTGCTCGCCCTTACCACAGTAGTCGTTGTTAATGGTGAGTTAACCTGATGGTTTTTAATAATACGTTTTTTTTTATATTTCGACATGGTTTTTGAAATATTTTAGTGTAAAGTGTGTAAAACAAAATAGAAAGTACACTTAGATTAGTGCTTTGTGGATTAGATGTTCAATTCATGAATTGCAAATATTAATTGTAGACATTTTAAAAATGTAAATAATTGTAGACACATTGTAAACTGCAAAGAATAGACAGATTTATCTAACCATTTTTTAAACCTTTGTTTAAATACTAGAAATATAGATTAGTATAATCTTATTCAAAATAATTTTGTTTTACATAAAATCCCAGGGAAAGGATAGTGAAAGAATAGGAATAGGATTTTTTTAAAAGTTAAACTAAAGTAATCTACGCTTTTCTATTCAGTGGTTTAATGTTCTATTTAACAAGAAAATAATTTATTTTCTACTTTTTAGTAAATGATTATATAAGTTCTTCTTATTTAAACGTTTTCTATTAAAGGTTTTGATACATTGAAACTTCAATTTCTGGCATTAATTTTATTTATTAAAATCAACAATATAAATTTATACATTTATTTTTTGTCGAAATCATAATTAAACTATGTTATTTTGAAGGCTGTTGTATACTGACAAAACCTACTATTCAAAAAATATTGAATTTAATGGGGGATAGCATTGCAAAAAATTAATATACATTTACTGCTATTGTTTTGGGGAATTTTACTGTTAACTTAACGTATTTTCTGTTATTGTTGTTGGGGTTATTTATAGGTTTACTGTATACGTTTTACTCCGTCGGTTTATTAAAAAAGTACGATTCCTCAAGTGGTGACGTTTTGTGCAGGATATTTTATTTGTATTCTGTATAAATAATCCATTATTATGAGTCATTTACACAAATAAAATTGTATTGCAACAAACATAATTCAATATTTAATCTTATCACTTCATTAAAATTTAATTAATTAATCTAAATTAATTAAAAATTAATGTAATTAAATTACAAGTGTTTATACATTTTGCTTACAGCTAATCCAACTCCAGCAAACGATGGTACAAACACATTATTTAAACAAATTACTAACGACATATCTTCAACAACTGAAGAATGTACAGATGCAACAACCACAACTACTGCATCTTCAATTACTGAAGAATGTAAAGACGACACCACCACGACAACCGAAGAATGTATAGATGACACCACCACGACAACTAAAGAATGTAAAGATGAAACAACCACAACAACTGAAGAATGTAAAGACGACACAACCACAACAACTGAAGAATGTAAAGATGACACAACCACAACAACTGAAGAATGTAAAGATGACACAACCACAACAACTGCATCTTCAACAACTGAAGTATGTATAGATGACACAACCACAACAACTGAAGAATGTAAAGATGACACAACCACGACAACAGAAGAATGTAAAGATGACACAACGACAACAACAGAAGAATGTATAGACGACACAACCACAACAACTGAAGAATGTAAAGATGACACAACCTCAACAACTGAAGAATGTAAAGATGACACAACCACAACAACTGCATCTTCAACAACTAAAGTATGTATAGATGACACAACCACAACAACTGAAGAATGTAAAGACGACACAACCACAACAACTGAAGAACGTATAGATGACACAACCACAACAACTGAAGAATGTAAAGATGACACAACCACAACAACTGCATCTTCAACAACTGAAGAATATAAAGATGACACAACCACGGCAACAGAAGAATGTAAAGATGACACAACGACAACAACAGAAGAATGTAAAGATGACACAACCACAACAACTGCATCTTCAACAACTGAAGAATGTATAGATGACACAACCACAACAACTGAAGAATGTAAAGATGACACAACCACGACAACAGAAGAATGTAAAGATGACACAACGACAACAACAGAAGAATGTAAAGATGACACAACCACAACTACTGCATCTTCAACAACTGAAGAATGTATAGATGACACAACCATAACAACTGAAGAATGCATAGATGACACAACCACAACAATTGAAGAATGTAAAGACGACACGACCACAACAACTGAAGAATGTAAAGACGACACGACCACAACAACTGAAGAATGTAAAGACGACACAACCACAACAACTGCATCTTCAACAAATGAAGAATGTATAGATGACACAACCACAACAACTGAAGAATGTATAGATGACACAACCACAACAACTGAAGAATGTAAAGATGACACAACCACAACAACTGAAGAATGTAAAGATGACACAACCACAACAACTGAAGAATGTAAAGATGACACAACCACAACAACTGAAGAATGTAAAGATGACACAACCACAACAACTGAAGAATGTAAAGATGACACAACCACAACAACTGAAGAGTGTATAGATGACACAACCACAACAACTGAAGAATGTAAAGATGACACAACCACAACAACTGAAGAATGTAAAGACGACACAACCACAACAACTGAAGAATGTATAGACGACACAACCACAACAACTGAAGAATGTAAAGATGACACAACCACAACAACTGAAGAATGTATAGATGACACAACCACAACAACTGAAGAATGTAAAGATGACACAACCAAAACAACAGAAGAATGTAAAGACGACACAACCACAACAACTGAAGAATGTAAAGATGACACAACCACAACAACTGAAGAATGTAAAGACGACACAACCACAACAACTGAAGAGTGTAAAGATGACACAACCACAACAACTGAAGAATGTAAAGATGACACAACCACAACAACTGAAGAATGTAAAGATGACACAAACACAACAACTGAAGAATGTAAAGACGACACAATCACAACAACTGAAGAATGTAAAGACGATACAACCTCAACAACTGACGAATATAAAGACGACTCAACCTCAACAACTGAAGAATGTAAAGATGACACAACCTCAACAACTGAAGAATGTAAAAACGACAAAACCTCAACAACTGAAGAATGTAAAGACAACACAACGACAACAACTGAAGAATGTAAAGATGACACAACCTCAACAGCTGCATCTTTAACATCTGAAGAATGTAAAGATGACACAACCTCAACAACTGAAGAATGTAAAGACGACACAACCACAACAACTGAAGAATGTAAAGATGACACAACCACAACAACTGAAGAATGTAAAGATGACACAACCACAACAACTAAATCTTCAACAACTGAAGAATGTATATATGACACCACCACGACAACTGAAGAATGTAAAGATGACACAACCACAACAACTGCTCCATCAACTACCACAGAATGTGAACATAGCACAACCACTACAATGACACCTCCATCAACTACCACAGAATGTGAAAATGGCACAACAACAACAACTACACCTTCAACAACCACAGAATGTGAAAATACCACAACCACAACAACTGCACCATCAACAACCACAGAATGTGAAAATGACACAACCACAGCAACTGCACTATCAACAACCACAGAATGTGAAAATGGCACAACAACAACAACTGCACCTTCAACTTCTACAGAATGTGAAAATAGCCCAACCACAACAACTGCTCCATCAACTACCACAGAATGTGAACATAGCACAACCACTACAATGACACCTTCATCAACTACCACAGAATGTGAAAATGGCACAACAACAACAACTACACCTTCAACAACCACAGAATGTGATAATACCACAACCACAACAACTGCACCATCAACAAACACAGAATGTGAAAATGACACAACCACAACAACTGCACCTTCAACAACCACAGAATGTGAAAATGGCACAACCACAACAACTGCACCTTTAACAACAACAGAATGTGAAACTAGCACATTAACTACCACAGAATGTGAAAATGGCACAACAACAACAACTACACCTTCAACAACCACAGAATGTGAAAATGGCACAAACACAACAACTGCACCTTCAACAACCACAGAATGTGAAAATACCACAACCACAACAACTGCACCTTCAACTACTACAGAATGGGAAAATGACACAACCACAACAACTGCACCATCAACAACCACAGAATGTGAAAATGGCACAACAACAACAACTGCACCTTCAACTTCTACAGAATGTGAAAATAGCCCAACCACAACAACTGCTCCATCAAGTACCACAGGATGTGAAAATAGCACAACCACAACAACTGCACCTCCAACAACCACAGAATGTGAAAATAGCACAACCACAACAACTGCACCTTTAACAACAACAGAATGTGAAACTAGCACATCAACTACCACAGAATGTGAAAATGCCACGACCACAACAACTGCTTCATCAACTACCACAGAATGTGAAAATAGCACAACCACAACAACTGCTCCATCAACTACCACAGAATGTGAACATAGCACAACCACTACAATGACACCTTCATCAACTACCACAGAATGTGAAAATAGCACAACCACAACAACTGCACCATCAACAACCACAGAATGTGAAAATGGCACAACAACAACAACTGCACCTTCAGCAACCACAGAATGTGAAAATGGCACAACCACAACAACTGCACCTTTAACAACAACAGAATGTGAAACTAGCACATCAATTACCACAGAATGTGAAAATGGCACAACAACAACAACTACACCTTCAACAACCACAGAATGTGAAAATGGCACAAACACAACAACTGCACCTTCAACAACCACAGAATGTGAAAATACCACAACCACAACAACTGCATCTTCAACAACCACAGAATGTGAAAATGGCACAAACACAACAACTGCACCTTCAACAACCACAAAATGTGAAAATACCACAACCACAACAACTGCATCTTTAACAACCACTGAATGTGAAAATGCCACAACCACAAAAACTGCTCCATCAACTACCACAGAATGTGAAAATGCCACAATCACAACTTCTCTATCAACTACCACAGAATGTGAAAATAGCACAACCACAAAAACTGCTCCATCAACTACCACAGATTTTGAAAACGGCACAAGTACAACACATACAGCAACTACAGAACCGGCAGACAACACAACCATAACAACTATAGCTTCAACAACTAAAGAATTTATAAATGACACATCCACAACAGCGGCATTTTTAAGCACTACAGAAGCTAGTAATGACTCAACCGTAGCAACTACACCTTCACCAAGTGAAACAAACACAACAACTGCAGCTGTAACAACTACAGAATTTATGAATGAAACAACCACTATTGTGATCACCAACACAACATTTAAAGAGACGGTAACACCAACTGTATCTACAGAAACAACACCAACATTAACAGATACAACAACACTAAGCCTACCAACAATCACAACTACGCCAATATCCACCACGACAATAACTCCTACGCCTACTGCAACACCTGTATCGACCAACTCCACAACGAATGTGTCTGACGATTGCGAACACTTCTTAAAAGATTTAGACCTAAACAAGTATACGGCCTGCATGTTGTGAGTAATTTTCTTTTCCTTTTTTCGTGTTATAGTAGCTGTTACCATTGCTGATGGTTCTGTTGTTACTGAAACTAGCTAAAGTCTAACAAATACAACACCTACATCAATGCTCTTTATGAAAACTTCTGAATTATATAACGTTTATCTTGTTTTGTTTAATCAGTAATTTTGAACAAGTAACAACTTTCAATTTTAAAAGAAGCATAAGCCGAAACAAAATACAATATTGTCTCAAATGTACTATGATTTAACATTTTTGGACAACATTTAACAAATAATGAACTAATATATATGTAATATGTTATATGAATGGTGTTATTGAGAGAATGCTGGAGAGATGGGGTAGTTTATTTAATGTGATATTTTCCTAAATCCAAATATACCAGCTAAATAGTATAAATCCAAATATACCAGCTAAATAGTATTATTAGTATTAGTTTTAACGTTCCAATCGTTATAAAACAGAAAGTTAACTTTATTATGATGATTTATAAGTCTATAAATAACCAAAATATTGTTGTTGTTTTTTTATTTCATCCTTAGGAATAAGTCAACTTCTTCAACAACATCGTCAAATAACACCACAACAACAACTATACCACCTACAACATCATCCACAACTGAATCAACAACCACAATAAATTATACAACCACAACTACATCTATACCAACTGCAACTACAACAACTTTACCAACTACTACTACAACAACTATACCAACTACAGCCACTACAACAACTTTACCAGTTTCAACTACATCCAAAACTGAAACAACAATCACAACAAATACTACAACCACAACTACATCGATACCAACTACAACTACAACAACAAGTTTACCAACTACAACTACTACAACAACTATACCAACTACAACTACTACAACAACTATACCAACTACAACCACTACAACAACTATACCAACTACAACTACTACAACGACAACACCAACAACAACCACTACAACAATTACACCAACTACAACTACTACAACAAATATACCAACTACAACGACAACACCAACAACAACTACTACAATAACTGTACCAACTACAACCACTACAACGACAACACCTACAACAACTACTTCAACAACTATACCAACAACAACAACAACGATTTCAACAACAACCAAACCAACAACAACAACTACAACAACAACACCAACTACAACAACTGTATTAACAACAACCAAACCGACAACAACTACAACTACAATCATACCAACAACAACTACAACAACAGCTAAACCAACCACAACTACTGTTAAAACCACAACTCTTCTAGATTGTAACGCGCTTATAAAAGTGGATATGCAGCTTTACAAGGATTGCATACAGTAAGTTCAATGCCATTTTTCAAATTAAATCAATACTTTTTTTTTATATTTGTATTGTAAACTAAACTGAAGGCAAAATTTTTTTTATATTTTTATGTTCTCATGCTCCGTGTTTGTTTGATTTACAGGTCGAGGAATAAATTACAACAGCTGACACGTCAAAATGCGCGTCTAAATTTAATGGACTCGCAATCAGCTGACAAATCAAAGACGAAGCAGAAAAATAGTTAAATTAATGGGAAGAGAATCAATAACAGTTTTAGAACATTTGTTTTATATAATTTAATACATTAAGTTTTCTTCATTTCTAAAAGTAAAAGTTGTTATCTAATTATAACCCTTAATTTGAGTTTTAATTTTACGTATAAATGGTACGATGTTTATCAAATACCATCAACTAGATATTCATCTTTATGATAAGTATCTTTCAAATTTTTTTTTATTTTTATTTCTTCTATATTATTCCGTATTTTTGTACACATAGATATAAATGTTTTCTAAATTTATAATATATTTGCATAAAATATCACTTTAAATAAATAGTTTTGTTTTAAAAAATAATTGTTTCCTATAAACTTCTCATTTGATTAATTCATATTGGGTCTAAATTTTACAAAACAAATAATGTTAATTCAAGAATTATATAATCTATAGTCAACCTTGGAAAATATAAAATTAAAATATTTAGAATTTCAGCACTGGTCGTTCTCCTATCGTAATTAAAACTTACTCAACGACGTATATAAAAAAAAGTCAGCTTATGTTTTCCGTATAATAAACGTTTGTAAGACTTCATGTTTTGCAATAGGTGTTCCTTGTTTATGTTGTTTTCCTTTCCTATTGGGCTTTTACTTTTTAAAAAAAAATGTTATTTGAGTTTTTATTGAAACGTTGTTAAGTATATATATATATATATATATATATATATATATATATATATATATATATATATATATATATATATATATATATTTACATATATATTATTTTATTATTATAAAAAATATATATATATATATATATATATATATATATATATATATATATATATATATATATATATATATTTATATATATATATATATATATATATATATATATATATATATATATATATATATATATATACATATATATATATATATATATATATGTAAATATATATATATATATATATATATATATATATATATATATATATATATATATATATATGTATATATATATATATATATATATATATATATATATATATATATATATATATATATATATATTTTTTTTTTTATAATAATAAAATAATATATATGTAAATATATATATATATATATATATATATATATATATATATATATATATATATATATGTATGTATGTATATATATGTATATATATGTATATATATATATATATAAAGTAAGAAAATAATGTATATATTATATATATATATATATATATATATATATATATATATATATATATATATATATATATATATATATATATATATATATATATATATATATATATATATATATATATATATATATATATACATTATTTTCTTAATTCTTGATATTTTTTATTCCCTATTTAATCTATTCTTTAACGTAATGATATATAATGGGCTCAAAACGATACAGGTGCTGATTTGATATTTTATATTTTAACTGGGAATGGGAAAATTGGAAATACAACGGCTTGGAGTTTTCGGATATTTATTTGATTGTTGTTTTTTCTACTATTGAATATCCTGTTGTTGATACACGTTGATACTGAATTTAAGAAATTAAAACTGATTATGAATCGTAAGGGTACACTTTATTAACAAGCTTGTAGGAGTAGGGCTTACATCGTTTGGATTCTCGATTTACAAACGAGTCACCACAAATTCCGTAAATATAAAACGCTCCTAATAAAATTGATATAGCCTTAATTATTTTTAGCTTTCGATTTGTGTGCAATGATTGCTACATGTAACCCACATAATACAATAGCAGAGTACACGGAAGTACTTTGTAAATAATTCGTAATATTTTTAATTGAGTTGTGTTGTTATGGTAATAGTTCGTACTTTTTTTGCTAATTGTGAAAATGTTATATTTGTTAAATTTAAGGATACATTCAATTGACTAAAAACAACTTTTCTCATTCAAGTATACTGTCGTTATTCCTGCTATGAGTTATGATTTATAATAATTAAAAGCATATAATAATGCAATCTATAAAATAAAGATAAACTTTGTTCGTATATTTTGGGGAAAAATGATAAGCATTGTAATCAACTAATGTGACCACTTGATTTGTGTTTGGTTTGTACAATTGAGCACGTTGTGAAATATGATATGTGTTAGCATTTATTCGAGGTACGGTAATTTTTTTTTTTAATTTAGTTGAAACACCACAGTGAATCTTGTTTATGTAGCCTGCAGTGATCAGACATTAATTACACATTGATAGGAAAACAATTAAAAAGTATAAATCATTTGATGTAAAGTTTTCTCCACGAGAAAGCAATAAATATGTAGTTAATCAGAGGCAACAACAACTTTGTGACAACTACCATTTTGTGACAACATACACGTTTTTGGTACCATAATTGTGGCAAAATTTGTTAGGTACAAGCTTTGTATTGTTGTGGCGTCATCATAGTGACGTCAGTATCAATTTATTTAGAAATGAACACTGTGACAACATTGTAAAATTGTTATGAGAACATCAGTGTGACAACGATAATGTGTTGATTGTTATGTACCATTGTTGTGTTTGGCTTTATCTAGCGCTTGAAATTCGGGCAGGGGTTGCAGCGGTCTTGAGACCCCGCCGTGAAATTCTTTACATTGTCTTGCGATGCTTCAGGCCTTTTCTCCTCTCCGTGTTTCATCGACATCCTGGTCGTGTCCATAACACATGGGGCAGGTGAAGTAGAGTTCATGTGTTTCTTCTTTCTTCTAAATCTTCGTTATTTATTCTAGCGTTGGTAAGGATTCACTCCAATAAAGTATTACGTGTCAACTTGCTATGTGTAATATGACCCGTTGACTCCCGAGTTACCCTGCTTTTCTTTTTGGATTTGCTTCCATAGCCTTTGTCTAACAAAGAACAATATACAAGCAGCAGTTGTTTGATTTTGGAGTTGTCTCCCCTAGAAGAGTTGATTATTTTTTCCAGGAATTCTTCTGGGGCTCGAAATTTTTTATTAAACAACCACGAGCTTTTCCGACTCGACCACACCGATCTTCAAATAGAATCTACTAATGCGTTGTAAAAACTGATTTATGATAAGTCACGTTTTTTTTTTCTTCATCGATCACTCGGTATACATCTGGTGGCCTCAAAATCCACTGGAGCGGAACGTTTTGCCATTTTAAGATAACTTCATTGATTGTGTATGTCCAATAATAATGTCAAAAATGATGACGTTCGTGTGACGTAACGTCTTGTGTTGTGATGATGACTTGCCTATTTACGATTACATGGGGGAAGGAATCAAGAGAAAATTATAAATGGTTGCCGGCCAATTTATAGCATGAAAAGAAGCTGTTGAGAAAATATATGTGGTTGACTGTCCATAAATATTTGTGGATGACTGTCCATAAATATTTGTGGATGACTGTCCGTAAACATCGGTGGTTGAGGGCCCAACAGAAGTATTTCTTTAAGACATTTTTTCGTCATCATGTGTGACGTCATTGTCATCCTTTAGCCTCGTGTGTGGATGTAATAATGGCCTTGACATTTAAATCAATTCAGCCATCATCTAAGTGGCGAAGACGTTTCGCTACAGTGAATATTCAGGTCCCATCATCTAAATGGCAAAGATGTTTCGCTACAGTGAATATTCAGGTCCCATCTTGAATACGGATCGGTCGATAAAAGAAAAACAAAACTTGTTCATGTGACTTATTTAAGACCATTTTAAACACGCGTTGTTTATTGTTAAATATTTTTTCTCAATAGCTCACCTTAATTTTTTTTCCGCTGTTTAATGGTCTGTAAAACACCCAACACCCCAATCCCCTCTCATAATACAATACAGCAGGCATGTCTCACACCAGCTTCTGTAGTTTTAACATCAATAATATTCAGGGGCAATAACCAAATATTAGCAATAATATTCAGGGGCAATAACCACATATTAGCAATAATATTCAGAGGCAATAACTAAATATTAGCAATAATATTCAGGGACGATAACAGAATATTAGCAATAATATTCAGGGACAATAACCAAATATTAGTTAAAATACATGTAGCTTGGGATTTAGTGTTCTTTTTTTTCTTTTTTTAAATACGTTGGAAAATCAACTGGAGGGATGATTCAGTGAATGAAGTGAAATAAATTATATAATTTCATTTTGACTATTGTGCCTATAAACATTGATGCTATTTCATATTTACAAATAACAATTATATTTAACAGACGAAAAAAAAGAATTGCAAAAATAATTTATTTTTTTATGAATTTTGAATGTTTAATAAATTCAAGTTTTAAGTTATAAAACATAGCAAAAACAATAAGAAAATGAAAAAAAAAACAACAGAATTTATATTTTATTGCCGGCTTTCAGCGAAACAGACCAATAATTCAATTATCATAATAATTTTAAGATACAATAAATTAATAAATATGTATTAACTATAAATCATTTTATTGCAAATACATATATAATTCATTGAAAATAAGTGTAGTCATATCTATGTATTAAAGAAATATGAAATATTTTTATGGAACGCATTTTTAATAATTTATAAACAAAACAGTTCAGAGTTTGAGTAAAGTAAATGTATTCCATAGTACACATTTTTTTTAGAAAGTTAGGTTCGCTGGTATGTTCGCAGTATATAAGTCAAGAAGGAAAAATTACAGACTTTTGTTTTCTTAAATGAAAGTTTTGGTTGATAAAATAAGTAAAATATCTCATGAGCGACCAACACTTTTTACTAAAGAAAGCAAATTAGTTTTATTTTCTTGTTTTAAGACGTAGATTAAAAAATTAGATGGAGAGTAGGGTAACTAACCCTGTCGGTGTTTGAGTTTTAAAAAATGTGAAATTACATCATTTCTCATGTGAAAAAGTCTACCTGTGCTGATTGATGTGTGTTTTCTCTGATTAAAATTAAGATGGTGATATCATCATCATCACGGGGTAG